ACTCCATACGTACCTATGTAATGGACTCTATTCACGATTGCATTAAAAATTAGACTGCACATGGGAAAATTTCCATAGTAAATGTTTGATATACTGCTAACCAAAAGAAAAAAATAGGTACAAAGTTGCATATACAGTAGTGCAAAATACTATGTCTAGAAGGATACACCAAAATGTTAACTGGTATTCTGTAAGTAGTAGAATTATGAGTTATTTTTAAATTATTTCATCTGTTCTTAGCTTTTCTCAGCTCTAGATTTAACCTTCTCTTAGGACACTACAACAGGGACATTTTAAGTACTACTGCAGGAACAAATTATTTTCAAACAGATTTTTAAACTGTTTTGAAAATGGGTAACAGAAAGGGAAGTGGGAGATAAAAGGAGCAATAATAGCTTTCTTTTCTTTGCTGAGCTACTAAGACTTCCTGCCCTGGTTTTCTGAAATAACTTTTTTTTCCTGCTGAGTTCTATATCTGTCTCAGTCTTTAACTAGTAGGCTATGTGTTTTCAAACTCTATTGAAATAATGATCTATAGAGAACCTGGTATTGTACATCAGCAATATCAAGATCACTAGTTAAATTTTTAAAAGATTATGTGAAATCCAAAACAAAATATAAAAGACAAATGGCCACATTACAGGTGTTAAGATATGCTAGGATAAGCACTGGCTTTGTTAATTATTGACCTGTATATCGCTGTATAATTATCTAACAAATCTATGCTATTTCAAACAATGTTTTAATTTGAAGATAAGCCACTGCTATTTATGACAGCACACCTATTGTTGAGGTTAAACTGTAGAAATCAGTAGAGAGCTGATGAAGCAGTAAGGGTATATATACTTTAAGGCAGTATGCCTCAGCTTATTTATTTATTTACTTACTTATTTATTTTGATATCATTAGTGTACAATTACTTGAACAACATTATGATCACTAGACTCCCCCCATTATCAAGTCCCCCCCACATACCCCATTACAGTCACTGTCCATCAGCATAGTGCCTCAGCTTTTAATGTGCATATGTATCACACCTGGAAGTCTTGTTAAACTACAGATTATGATTCAGTATGTCTGGGTGGGGTTCCTTTCTGCATTCTTCACAAGGTCATGATACCACCGCTGGGGTCATGGACCACACTTGCAGGAGCAGGGATCAAAGGGACATCACTGGTCAGAACTGGCAGGGTTTCTCACCATATAATTTCTTAATTAGGTGCCAGGGTCTGGCCCTTTACTCTGAAAGAACAGACTTGCTTTTGTTAAAGCCCTGAGACACACTAAAAGGCACATGAAGGCTAACACATTCATTTTAGAGTGAACTGTAACTATATATAGACTAGAATATTGATATTTTTCACTGTAAACACCTCCAGTACCTCCAGCTAATCCCCTTTGCTAGTATACAGGGAGGGCATTTTTGGACTTGCAAAGCTTAAGGACTAGGCCCCAGAGAGTGGCAGTGTCATCAAGATAGTGTCACCCTGTGAGGCATATGTGACTGGTCACCTGACATCACTACATGATGCTACATGATAGATCAGCTATCTCTACTTACAACAAGCAGGAAAGCCCATCCTGTAGAAATAAACACGTGATGAAAAACACAATGGAAGTGAAATCTAAAAATGAATATATAAGAATTTAGGTTTTTCCTATTTGTTTTGTTTTTGAAGGATCAGCCACAAAAGAAAGAGTAAATCCATGAGGGGAACAGTCTGTTTCCTTGACCAAAATATTCCTAGAACCTATAAGTATCTCTGACCCATAGTAAGCACCCAATATTTAATGAGTGAATGAACAAATGAGTATTTAAGGACAGTGGGAGTTCATTTCTTTGGCATTTACATCTTAATACAAAGGATTTCAGGGAGCTATAGAGAACCATTCCTAATAATTTCAACATCAGTTAGGCCAGGCTGGCTATAAACATTATCTGATTTCCAGAAGATAGCAAACATCTCTCTAGCCTTTAATTTATTCAAACAGTAAGTGTTACAGACTACCCTTGCATTCCTTCACAGAACTTCCTTTTCTCTGAAGACAGAGGGTAGGGCCTAAACTTAACCACAAGAGGAGAAACTGCTACATGCTGGCAGTTGTTTTTGACGGAATAACTTAAAAGATTTTACTCTTCCTCCTCCTAGATTTTCATAGACATGATTTCTTAGCATGAGACAAATTTCACGAGAGATTTGTAAAGGGTAAGAAACAAAAGCAAAGATAAAAAGTATGCCAAGAGCTCTTGGAAAGGTTAAATAAAGAGTTACCGTATAGCCCAGCAATTCCTAGGTATATACTTAAAGAATTGAAAACATGACTTATATGTGAATGTTCATAGCAACATTATTCATAATAGCCAAAACGTGAAAATAACCCAAATGTCTATCAACTGGATAAATAAAATATGGTAAATCCATACAACAAATATTATTCTGCCATAAAAAGTACTGAAGTACTGATACATGCCCCCATAAAGATGGACCTTAAAAACAATATGCTGATGGTGGTGGGGGGCGTCTAGTAAACATAATGTTCCTAATGTAATTGTAGAATAATGATACCAAAAAAAAAAAATGCTGAGTCAAGGAAACCAGTCACAGATGGACGACACATATTGGGCAATTCCATTTATATGAAATATCCAGAATAAGCAAGTCCAAACAGAGATATAAAATAATTTAGTGGTTGCCAGGGGCCGGGGATGTGACAGCTAGTAAGCATGGGATTTCTTTTTGGGGTTATGGAAATGTTCTGAAATTAGATAATGGTGATGGTTACACAACTTTGTGAATATACTAAAAACCACTGAATTACACATTTTAAGGCAAGAATTTTATGGTATGTAAATTATATATCAATAAAACAATCATATGCCAAAAGGAAATAAAATCAGTGTGTAAAAAATATACACAAAGGGGAGCATCCCTTTCTCTCTGCTTTTCTCATCTTTCCTCCATGCAAAATCTTAAGACTAAAAAGCCACATATATTATGTAGTTATTCTGAAAATGACTGAAACCCTAAAAATATCCTAACCACCAAACAAAAGCAGCTGCTTATTTTGATGACATTTTTGTAACACGGCCTTCCTTCAAATCCAAGTTGACAGAGGACTTATTCTACAAAGCCAAATGTGTACAATCCACTAGAATTACCCTTGAGGGGAGACGCGGCTCTAACTGGCACTGGCACAAAACACATTCCAATTCACAAAAGAGAACTACACTGTCATTCAGTCTAGTCAGAAGGCAGTGTCATCAGGAACCTAACTGTGATGGATGGATGTTCTCTTCATGTTTTCTGTCTCAAGCCCAAGACAATGGGCCTCAAAAACAAAGCAAAACAAAAACCCTTACTAAGCTACACTAAATTATAAGAAAGTATGTCCTGTATTTAAATTATTGCATAGAAAACATAAAGGAATGTAAGTTTGGAAATTGAATACTAAACCATTCAGATAGGGATATTAAATTTTTTTAATGCATTCCATATTATACAAGAAATTAATAAGTACTATTCCTGGGTGCTAACTCTATTCATTTTGTATCAACTCTACTGCTTTTTAATTGCTTGATGCAGTTAAACAATGGACATGCTCATATATAAGGTATCTTAACTGGCTGAAACATTAGTCATATAATAAGAAATACTTTAATCTCCTTTTAAACAATGTCCTAGATTTAGAAACTCTATTTCAAAAAGGCAGAAGTAATCGTGTAGATGAACTGGAAATCAAGATGAATGTTTTGGAAGAGACCTTAAAAAGCATTCACCAAATCAGGACAACCACATCTAGATTTTGCTATTAAACTGTGAATGATGCTTGGTTTACACAAGCGCTACAAGGATTTAAAAATATATAACACGTGAAGCATGTTGAGCGTTCTTAATGATGAGAGCCAAAGGCACTATCACCATGGCACTATTCTACTAGATGCATATTTTCAGATTCTCTGCACCCTGGGAGTTACCATGTTGATAATACAGATTAATATCAAGTGTGATGGAGAAAAATCCCACCTGCCCAAGAGATTCCACTCAGATAGAATCCCACACATTCAAAGAGCATTTATTAAGCTACCCCTGTAAACAGTAGCTTGAGGATTATCTGTCCTATTACACGTTGAGAATGAGTTACATCTCTTTCTGTATACGTTCCAAGGGGTAGAGAAACCATGTGGCCTTCCTATGTCTTTGATAACCTTGTCCCCATGGAACAGATGACTGCTGTCACTTGAAAGTATATTTAGCTTCTCCTTTCAGCACTCCTCTCTTTAAACCTGTTTTTCCGTTTCCCTACACCGTTTATTCCATCCCTGGAGTACTTGATTTTCCTTCTTTTGCTCTTCCAACACAGCTTCACCTTAAATTCCAGACCATCTAGAATTTTTTTAAGGCATTCAAGATCATATGAGATAATGAAGTACTCCTTTCAGGCATTAATCCCATCCATTTACTGTTACCGCTACTGCTTCTCAGTCCCCTCCCTACCTCCCTCTCTCTTCAGCCCTCCCTTTCTATATTCATGTTGCCTCCACCTTCAGCTCTCCCCAAGTCACTGCCCCACATTTTCCTCAGGCTCTCTAATCAGTCTCCATCCCCACGGCAGGTTTTTCCAAAGAATCTCCACCTCCCCCAACTCTCCATCATCCCTACCCTCGGTGACGCCCTCTCATTTTGCTGCGGTCCCTCACTCTCCCCAACCTCGGATTCCACCCCTACCCCCATCACGGCCCTACACAGTTTAGGGAACGCAGCTCACACTCTCCCTCGATCCCCCAAACTTGTCTCTTCCCCTTAAGACAACCTCCAGTACCCACCTCCCCCATTCCCGGACCCCGCTAGGTCTCCCTGCACCTTCAGAGACTCTTGCCTTCTCCCTTCAGAGTTTTGGACACTCTCACCGCTCGGCGCGCTCCTTGCCCGCGTCCACCCGCTGGGCACCCCGTGCCCTCCCCGGGGCCCACAGCGCCCCTCCGGGAGCGGCCCTCCGACCTGCCTCCGCGCCTCCCGCAGCCCCTGCAGCCTCTGGCCCAGCTCCCGCCTGTAACTCTGCGCCGCCTCCACGTTCTCGCGAGCCTCCTGCAGCAACACCTCGGGCTCCAGCTCCATCGCCCTCTCCGGCCACTCGGCCGGCGGCTGCGGGCGCGGTTCCCGACTGTCCCGGGCGCCGCCGAGCGGCCACGCGCAGGCGGAAGCACCGCCCCGCCCCGCCCCTCTGCAGCCTTGATTGACAGTCGCGCGCCGGCGCCACGCGCAACCGTCGTCCGGGTCTCAGCGCCGACCGACTCGCAGGCACACCTGGCCTCCGCTGGGCTCCCACGCAGCTCCTGGGCGGCGATGCTCACTCAGGGAAGGATTAATAACTACACCTACATCTTATGTCATTCAATACCAGTCCTCCTTGGATCTCCATTTCACAGAGCAGGGAGGGGAATAAACTCCCAAACAGTCGGCATTCGAACCCAGATGATTCTTAAACCGTCATTGTCCTACCTCCGTAGCAAAGGAGCAACTGTTTTAGGAGGTTGTTGTAAAGCACCAGCTCAGTGGGATCCCATAAGGGCCCCGCCTCCCAGAAGCTCCTAGTCTACTGAGGCAGCCAAGACAGGCCTAAGCAATGACCAGCTGTATGTACAGCAATCCTGGCAGAGACGAGTGTTAGCAAATTTTTTCTCTGAAGGTCAGGTAGTAAGAATTTGGAGCTTGGAGGGCTGTAAGGTTTCTGTTACACTGTATAGGAAGTAAGTGGACGTGACCCTGTGCAAGTAAAATTTTATGGCACAGATGTGAATTTCACATAATTTTCACATGTCACGAAATATTCTTTGAATCTTTTTTCATCTATCTGAAAAGGTAAAAACTATTCTTCATTCAGGGGCCATACAAAAATATGTAGTGGGTCATATTTGGCCCTGGGTCATTGTCAGCTGACCCCTGGCCAAGGATATTCGAGGTGAAAGTTGCCTCAGGCAGGAAACAGAGACAAGGTCACACAGTGAATCTGTACTACAGGCTAGATCCCAGTTTTCCTGGGTCAGACTAAAGCTTTCTATCACATTGTTTTGTGCTTAATAAGTGACACTTGGGACTAGGGAACTTTTAAAAAGGGAGGCTGGAGAAAATAGGAAATTAGCTTTATCCTGAAAATAAGGTAGCCAAGTACTTAGTAAATACTCAACAAGTATCTGTTGAATGAATCAAGGTATTATTAACTGACCAAAAAGAGTGAGGAAAGGCACCTCATCTAAGAAAAAATTAAGTGAGGAAAGGTATAAGGACTTGGAGGCAGAAATAAAAGCAGATTGTTTAAGAAAGAAGGAAGAGACCATTTTGACTGGACAAGTAGGACTGGCCGGTAGCGCTGAATAATATATTAGGAGAGGAAGTTGAGAGAAGAGTAGAGCAGTAGAGTTCAGAATTAAGAAGCTTTGACTTTAATGAGTTTTTGCCTGGGCAGTCACAATTACAAAGCAATGTTTCTAGTGAGGTGGGACTTGGGTCTGTCTTAAGGTAAGGGTTGACATATAGTATATTCTCAATAAATATTTGTTCAGTGAAATGAATATACAGAATCAATGGAGGAAATAACATATGGTATTAGTCCAGGTATGATATGATTAAGGCTTGAATTAGGATGTTGGCCTTTACAGAGGTTTGACAGTAAAAGCAGGGAAAAAGACAGTCAAATGGTTCAAGGCAATAGGAGGATTCAGGGACAGCCTAAGTAAAAAACAGGATTTATTAAATGTTCTTGAATATAGTATGTTCTGATAGTTCTCTAAAGCTAATTGAATACAACTGGATTCCACCCGAGAGCTTTCCTATGTGAATATTTTTTTTTATTAAAAGAAAAATGTCCATAAGTCCAAGACATTAATCTGAGTCTTATTCAACTTTATTTCCTTGATGTACTACTGATGGAAGGCAGAAAATATGTATCTAATATATCCACACTATATGAAAAAAAATACTAAGAAAATCGCACACCACTCCCCCAAGACTTGACATTTTTGGATACATTATTTCACTTTATAGCACAAGTTCCCAAAGGGTAAATACTCTGGTTGATAACAGAGAGGAAGACTGATTTAGAGGTGGAAGTGATAGAAGCCAGTGAACCATCAGACAGGGTTTTACAAAATTTTTATCTCCATGCCATCACATTGGCCTAGAATTGACTTCAAGTTTACTTAGAGCAGATTCAAATACCTGGACTCATCATGCTAATAAGACTTATAAGAAACAAATTAAACTTGATAATTTATTTATTTAGGATAAGAATATAATTGCTGAGAAAATTGCAACAGCTGGATAATCAAGTTGTAACCACAGACTTGTTTGGTAAACATGGATTCAGTCCAAAATACTTTTGTCATCTGGTCAGCAAAGTATCTCTCACCCCTCTCCAACCTTTTCTCAAAAAAAGAAAAAAGGCTTTTAACTGGACTGAGCACATACAATTTTTTTTACTCTCTGACTCTCTTTTTGCATACTTAATTCTTTAGAATCAACTGGGTACAGCTAAATGAATCTTAGTTTTTGAACAGCAACTCATACAAAGTAATATTCTCCAGCAATACAAAACAATTAAGAGATAGTTCTAATATTGACTTGTGTCTCTTAGAGAAAGTTTTTTATTAAGGCTATTTTTTTTTAATTTTGACAACTCAGATTTACAGAAATTTCAGAAACCAACAGAAAATTTGCAAAAGCAGTGCAAAATTTTTTTTCCTGAATAAACCACTTGAGAATAAGTTGCCAACATCCTGTAAGTACATTCTTTTATGCGCCCACAATGCAACCATCAAAATCAGAAACTGAACACTGATACTCTATTATATGTAAACCTACATCCCCCATTCAAGTTTAATCAATTGTCACAATGATGCCCTTTATAGCAAATGGATCCAGTCCAGAATCACTTGTTGCATTGGATAATCTTATCTCCTGGCAGGCACCATAAATCATAAAAACTCTTGTTAATATCCTTTTTTCCACTCCCATTCTCTTATTCCCCATTAGTGCCCTGGAATTTCTCCCTCCATCTTTTACTACCTAATCAGTGCAAACCCCCTGATGTCCAGCTTTCTTCTTCCCACCAGCCTCCTCAGTCATTTCTCTCAATTTTGTACCAAAGAAGCTAGGGAGCCAGGTTGAAGGCAACCTGTAAGTGACAAGGTGAAGGCAAAATTCCCTTTTGTTGGTAGGTTGGGGTATAAGGGCCAAGGCTGAGAATGTATATATATTAATACGTTTTGTTTCTCTCAGTCTTTTCTGAGTTTACCTCAGTGTCCTCTTGATTTATTCAGAATGTTCCTTAATAGCTTTAGTATACATTTACATCTTTTACATAGGTCAGTTGCACCTAGAATCTCCTTTTTCCTGTCTGGGCCTTTTTTCGTCTTACATTCTTTATGATACCTTCGGCTGCAAGTTACAAAATACTCTAACTTTAACAATAAAGGAGATTCATTGCCTAATAAAGAATACTTGAAAAGGCTTTAAGGCTAGTTTCATTAAAAGGTCAGACTTCCTAACTCTTTCCTCTGCCATTTTTATCATTATCTTATTTTAAGCCTGCTTAATCTTACACTCCCTAGTAATCGATTGTACTACTTTCTTTACTGTGGTTTTATTACCTACATATTTAGCCTTAGTAAGACATCCGTCTAAAGCAGTCCCTCCAAAATACACTGTAGAGATGGTTTGTGGGAGCTAAATTTTCTCAGCTTTTGCTTTTCTGGAAACTGTTTAATCCCTCCTTCAAATTTAAATTTTATTCTTGGGTCAAGGCCCTTCCGCTTCATTGCATTAAATGTATCCTGCCACTCCCTTCTGGCCTGTAAGGATTCTGTTGAGAAGTTCTGATGATAGCCTGATGGGTTTTCCTTTGCATGTGACCTTTTTACTCTCTATGCCTGCTTTTCACTTGTTAAGATTAGTTTTATGGCCCAAAATATGATGTCACAGTGAATGTCATAATGCACACTTGAAAAGAATGCCCATTGTGCTGTGGCCAGGTTACATACCTGAATGTCATCAGGTCCTGTTGGTTGGTGGTGTTGGTCTATGGTGGTGGTGTTCGAGTTACAGACTTTCCTCTTTTCAGTTGTATCAATTTCTCCTTCATGTAATTTGAAGCTCTTTTGTCAGGTGAGTGTACATTTAGAATTTGATGAATGGAATCATAACATTATGTAATGTCCCTCTTTACTCCTTATAATTTTCATAGCTCTAAAGCTCTGAATATTGTGTCTGGTAATAAGATAGCCTTTAGCTTCCTTTTGTTTAATATTTCACATTTCCCTTAATGGAGGTCAGATTCTCTTAGCTTTCCATCATCTGTGTCTTTCTCTCTCTCTCTCTATTTTTTTTTTGCATTCATTCCACAAGACTTTTTCTTAGATGAAAGATTCTCTTCTGGGTTGGCAGTTCTTTTCTTTCCTCACTTTAAAGATATTATTCCACATTCTGTGGCCTCCATTGTATTTCATGAGAAATCTGTAATCATTCACATTTTAGTTTATCTTTGGTTTTCAGCATTATGACATGTTTAGGCCCTATCAGGCCTAACTGTTTGTTCCTGATTTTGAGTTGAGGCCTTCTCAGACCTAAACTCTTTGAATTTGCTCTGTTTGGGGCTTGCTGAGCGTCTTGAATCTCTAAATTTATGTTTTTGTCAAATCTGTGATCTTTTCAAGCTTTTAGTAAGAATTGTTTTCTCTAAAATAATTAAAATTTCTTTTCCTTTATATAACACCTATAATGTGAAATTTAGACAAATTGATACTGTCCCACAAGTTTCTAAGGATGTATTCATTTTTTCCAATGTTTTTTCCTCTCTTTTCTTCAGTGTAGGTAATTTCTATTGCTTTATTATCTTCAAGTTTACAGACTCTTCTATCATCTCTGTTCAGTGGTTGAGCCCATGCACTTTCTTTTAATTATATTTTTCAGTTCTAAATTTTCCATGTGGATATTTTTTTATGGTTTGTATTTTTCTGCTAAGAACTTAAGTCTTTCCAGTTTTTTCAAGAGTGTGAACCATTAGCGTATTTACTATGCTTATAACAGCTGCTTTAAAGTCTTTATATGATAATTCCAGCGTGAGGCATCTCAAAATAGGCATCTGTCCTTTCTTTCCCTTGATAATTTGTCACATTTTCCAGTTGTGTGTATGTGTGTGTTG